ATTGTTAAGCAAAATATCTCCAAATCAAATGGGAAGAGGGTCCCTTTTCATCCCAATCATGTCTTGTTCAGCCTCCTTCCTCCTTGTCCACCCAAAATAACTTTTGTAACTTATTTCCTTTATTTTGCAGGTATTCAAGTCACGTGGGATGGTCCCCAAGTGATTCCAATTAATTTGGGATCAAAATATCTATCAATACTTCCAAAAATGGAAGAATGAGTCCTAGTGTTTGATCTTTTGTCATGTGGTGTCTTTTTGTGCTCATTATATTTTATTTAGACAAAGTCAACTTTCTAAATCATATTATTGATCTCTAATATGTGTAGGATGGTCCTAATAATTTATATGGTGTACAATTATAAGAGAAAACTCTACTACAATTATTTAGCTCAATAATGCCAAAGATGAGACCATAGGAGTTTGTTTTTGTCTCTAAGGATCCCCTCACCCCTTCATTCGTATTTATGAAGTATTATATAGTCCTTCCGATATTTATTTGGAGTTTATAATAGGTGTGGGATACCCTCAAACACTTCTAAGATATCTCTTTCCATCAAACCTGCTATTTTTAACAAGTTGGGTCCAAAGTAACACTAGGACTGCCCAACCTTCCTTATTTTATCTAAAAAGGTTATGAATCTTGCTTCACATAGTGTTAGGCTCTCATACCTAATAACATATCCCAATTAAGTATTTGGAAGCTCATCATTATAATACGAGCCCAAACAATAGCACAATTAATCATACATTACGTAGAGCATTAATCGTTTTACAATTGTTTGATAATAGGGAAATCAATACATAAACTTTGAACTTTAAATTGAATTTCAAGAACGTTCGGGTGCGGTGTCACATGTTGTGAGCGGGGGTGGTTGGAAGAAGGCGAAGCAAGGAAAAAATATGGTTTGATGATAAGCACAAGTCGTACACCTTTTGCAAAAAGAAAATTTAAAATCGTCTTCTCTTCTAGTAAACTTATAATATTATCCGTTAAAAGATTAAAATAAGATTTCCAACTTTTTCTTAGAAATATTCTGGATGACAAGTATAATGTCTTACGTTTTTGTTTCCCCTGAAGACCAATCAGCTTTCCTCAACTCCTTGAATCCCTCGATGAACTCCCCCTCTTCATCAACCCATCGCCTAAGCCCATACACCTCCACTCTCATTAATTGCATCATTCACATTATTTTTCACCCATCCTAATGGAGGTCATTACTAAAGATCCTTTGCTTACCTACTCTTAGCAACCTCTTGCCACTGCACTTGAGTGTCTCGCCAACCATCCACATTAGCTAAAGCACAATTAACAATAGTTAAGGCTTTCTGACGTTGACCCTTTTATAGGGGTTATTCATGCGCTTTCAGAGACTCTAAAAGTACCATCAGAAGCTTGCTCAACACATCCTCTTTCAAACTTTCTAATACACTCTTCAAAGCCCCTTACAACTCTATTAAAAATCCCTCCATACTCATCCTTACCCCTTCAACTTCTAGGCAAAGGTAGAATGCATGCTCAACAGTTCACTCCCCTCTCCCGCATAATTTTCAGAGAACCTCATCAACATCCACCCCTTTTCCTCCAAAGTGTAACCGTAGTAGGAAATCACTTTTATCATTATAATAATAAATCAATACAAATTGTTTCTATAATTGTCACCGCTTTGATTATTCAAATTGCTACTCACGCGACTCAATTTATCAATGCCATATAATTGCTGACGTCATGTCACTGCTCAAATTGCTGCTGACACAACCCTAACCATCGTCAAATATTGTTGTTGCCGCCACCCCCCGCCCATGATGCCAACATTATTAAAACACGAAGCAAGGACCCTTAAAAGACTTAAATGACCCTTAAAAGAGCTTAACTTCAATGCTTTTGGGCATATCTCTCACAAAGCAAAGGAAGCCAAGAATGAATACAAGAGAGGTCATGCTCTTTTGTTACTTTCCCCTCTTGATGATAACATTAAACTTGATGTTGCTTTGGCAAAAAAGAATGCTCTCTGCTTTAAAAGAGCCGAGGAGGATTTTTTTTTAGACAAAAGGTTAAAGCGAATCATTTATTCCAAAGTGACTGTGGCACTAAGTATTTCCATTCTACTATGAGGAAGAATGTGGCTAAAAACTCCATTACATCTATTAAATTGCCTAATGGGGTTTCCACCACCTCCTTGAACCATGTGGCTTGTGAATTTGTTAGATTCTACACTGATTTGTTTGGTACCTTTAGTCCTAATGAGGATATCGATCCTAACATCATTATTTCTGGAAACTGCCTTGATAGTAGCAAGGTAGCTGATCTTATTGCTCCCGTCACTGACATTGAAATTAAGAATGCTCTTTTTGATATTGGGGATAACAAGGCTTCTGGTCCCGATGGCTATACTTCAGCCTTTTTCAAGCATAACTGGAATATTGTTGGCCATGATGTTATCTTGGCCATAAGAGGTTTCTTTAATTCTGGGAAACTATTAAGGCAACTTAACCACACGGCTATTGCTCTTATTCCCAAGACCTCTCATGACCCTACTGCTGCTGACTTTAGACCCATTGCGGGTACTAATGTCATTTATAAGATCATTACTAAGATCATTGCTACTAGAATGATCCCTTGTTTACCTGAGCTCATTGACCCCTCCCAAGGGGCTTTTGTTGACGGGAGACTTATGCTTGATAATGTGTTTCTTGCCCAAGAGCTTATTAAAGGCTACTCTAGAAAGCACATTTCTCCTAGATGTATGATTAAGGTGGACCTCAGGAAAGCATATGATACCATTTCTTGGGATTTTTTCCATAATGTCCTTTTGACCATTGGTTTCCTCAATAAATTTGTTCATTGGATCATGGAATGTGTTTCTACACCTTCTTTCTCCATCTATGTTAATGGGATCCTTCATGGTAACTTCAAAGGCAGGAGGGGGCTACGACAAGGTGACCCTATGTCCCCCCTCCTCTTTGTTGTTTGCCTTGAGTATTTCTTTAGACTCCTTCACTGCAAAACCAAGGTTCCCTCTTTTAAGTTTCACCCGAAATGTGGTAAACTTAAGATTTCCCATGTTGCCTATGCTGATGATCTTATGCTCTTTTCTAGAGGGGACTTCCCCTCTATTAAAGTTCTTATTGAGGCGTTGAATGAATTTGGGAATGCTTCTGGTCTCAAAGTTAATTTGATAAATCTAACATCTTTCTTGGTGGCTTGGCTGATCATGACCTGGCATATATTCTGGACATGATTGACTTTAAAGAAGGAGCTTTTAATATTATAGCTTTCCATCAGTAGTTCACATTTCATATTATTACAGATTAAAAAAAGAGCTTTCCCTGTTAGATATCTGGGGATCCCGCTGCCCCCCCTTAAGATTTCTGTTGCTCAATATGCTCCCTTGTTGGACTCCATTACTTGTTTTATCACTGCATGGAATACCAAAACCCTCTCTTACGCTGGGAGAGTTGAGATTATTAAGTCTCTTATTCAAGGTGTCCATGCTTTCTGGCTGCAAGCACTACCCATTCCTAGGGCTGTACTGGATAGAATTACTTTTATCTGTCGTATTTTCCTTTGGGGTGTAAGTATGCTAGAGTTGATTGGGTCGATATTTGCCTCCCTAAAGAGGAATGGGGACTTGGTATTCATGATACCTATGTTTGGAATTCTGCCCTCCTTGCTAAAACCCTTTGGGATATCCACATGAAAAAGGATAATCTTTGGGTTAAATACATTCACGGTGTCTACCTTAATGGTAGAGGTGTTTGGGAGTTTACATCTCATCAAAGAGACTCCCAACTGATCAAGAAGCTTGCTCTGATTAGGGATCAAATTGTATCTCACTTTCCCAACACTCACGAGGCCATTAATCATCTCAATGGTCTTCAAAAGAATGGCAATCTGCCCTCGGCCATGGTGTACATTCTTCTTAGAATTAAGGGGGGCACTCATATGTGGTTGTCTTTCATTTGGAAGAATTATATCCCCCCTAAATTCTCTTTCACGGTTTGGTTAGCCTTTCGTAACCATCTTGCTACGCTTCATAATTTGCATAGATTAGATGTTGTTAATATTTGTCCTCTTTGTAAGGGTGGTCCGGAAATGGTACCACACCTATTTTTTGCTTGTTCTTTTTCAGGGAAAGTTTGGCATAGAGTGAAGACTTGGCTGGACATTTCTAGGGAGATGGGGACCTTGCATAGTTCTTTGAAATGGATCAAGAGGAAGAGACAAGGCTCCGGAATCAAATCTAAGGCGGCCAGGATTGCTTTTTACTACTCCATCTATTGGATTTGGAGGACCCGGAATGCAACATGCTTTGAAGGCCTTATTCCCAAAGATGATGATGTTTTTGCTAGGATTCAATACATTGTTTACAAAATCTTATTTAGTCTTTACCCGCATGAACTCGTTAAGTTGTGAGCTGTTTTTGTGCTGGACCTCTCCTTGCTAGTTTGGTCGCCACTTTGGGTTGTTTTTTGGCTTGTTTGTGCTTAACCTTCACTTTGGTTTGGCATGGGCCGTAGCTTGTGTAGCCTTTGTTCTTTGTTTGGGTAGGGTTATCCATGTTGAATAACCTGCATTTTTGTTTCCTTTTTGCTTGTACATTCGGAACCTCCTTTTTCTTGGGTGGTTCCTTTAATATACTTACAGATCATCCAAAAAAATACTAAAACATGAAACCCTAATACTTAAACTTAAACTTCAGGACTAACTAAACCTCAAATCTGATAAAATGTGAATAAAATAAGAATGAATTAGATCCATATAAATAATACGTAGTACTAAATAGGTTATGTCACAATCTTAGTGAAACGTATGAAAAAGAAAAAAAAAATCGAAAAAAGATATTGAGAGAAAAAAATACTTTAGAAAAGTTCTAAATAGACATTTCTCCAAAATACAATGGGCCACAGCAGCCCATATATGAAATTTCCACTTGTTTCTAACATTCTATCCATAAGCTTTTAAAGCCTGGCCCACTCTAAAGGGAACCCATGAACTGTTCAAATCACAAAACAAAAACGAAAAAGAATACTCTGCATTTAAGTGGCGCAAACCTAGTGAATGTGTCGTCGGAAAGGCGTGTATCTGATGCCCAGAAGGTAGATATATCCAAGTACCAGTCGTAAATATATTATTGATGGCTTCTGAGAACTGGTAAAGACACAAGTGGAACGCGACTGTCTGTTTCCGGCCAGCCGCCACCGGCCTCCCCATAAAGCCGTCGCGGAAGCTATTTATATGCTTTCATATCCGTTGCCATGGCCAGGTAAAAGTGCGTACCTTTTTGTTTGGATCCATCCCTGTATCAATGCCTATTTTACTGTCTTGATTTCTGTATCTCACTTTGAGGGACCCTTAGGTTGGGGTTGATTAATCTCAACTTTGGTTATAACCGAATGTTAAATATTTTCCGGTTTTCATCGATTTAATCTAGTATCTCTTTCGAAGGCGATTTGCAGTTTACAGAACTCCCGGAAACTATGATTCATTCCCTCCCAGCACTTCTTAAAAAGGAATTATTAACAAGTTTGGTCCTTTGTGGACAAAATGGGCCATATTTTTAGTGTTTTCCAATGATGTTCTTATGTGTTAACCCTCAATTCTAGGTGATGCCAGAACCGCTATCTTTTGACGTTTTACATTTGCATAACTAATACGGAGTATCTTTTTTAGCAGCTCCTTTCATTTTTCATTCATTAATCGACAGTTTTGGTGCTTTATCATCTCAGAGCGGAAGAAAAATGAATATAAAAGCCCAATTCTAAAGAATCTAAACAGATGCATTGACCTTACTGGATTTGGCACTGCTAGATGTGTGCTATATACTCAATTTTTTTACTGGCTTTCAGGAATATGAAGCATAGACAGCCAAAAAGCCTAAAAATAACGGATCTGAACTATGACGTATTGAAGCATGTAATTTATCATGTAGCAAAATCATCTGATGGAGCCAAGAGCTTCTGCAGAGCAATATCTGTGTGAGTATTTAGCTATAAGAAAAAAGTTGATGAGAGTTAAAAGCTATTTACATGCCAGAGTGACAATAAAATGTGTATTGCATCTGATTATGATGAATTTGTTCATATAGTTGCAGACTGTTTAAGGAACTTGCAGATGATAGAGACATTTTGAAAGTTGTCACATTTGATGATATAGAGCTGTCCTTTATCCATGAGTCATTTTGGCTACCTACTGGCTTGTTGTGTACTTGTGTAGGGGCAGCAAATTGGAGCGCTACTGACAAAATAACTGATGTATGTGTTCCTTTAATTTGGTTTGGTTTCTCATGCTTGGTTTGGTTTTGGTTTTAATTTTGGTTCTGGTTCACATTCTAATCAACCACTGGCTCTGGCTTAAATATAATGTGCTAAACATGCATAGATTTGTAGTATGCAGAAATGCTGAATGTGGCTCACAAGGACCTTAAAAGAGATATGTTCCGTGCAAGAGTGGTACTACAACATTTTATCCTGTCACATTCTGTTCTCTTACTAGTTTATATGTATTTGTTAGTTTTATTTTAGACTTGAAATAACAATGCGATGAGCTAAGCCATGTAATGAAGTATATGCATTTGTTACTTTTATCTTCACATTATATCCAACTTTCTTAATGTAGAAATAATTTAAAAAATAAAAAAATATCACCCCTCCCCTCCACCCTCCAAAATCTCTAAACCAAACTATCCCATAAAAAGACACCCTCTTGTTAATTTTGTTTTCTAAGAACCGTGCTTTTGTGTAGGTTCTCCTTGCAAAAAATATAGCTATTAGAATTGCAAATACAAGGGCAAGGAAAAAGGCTCTAGATGCAGCGATAGATGTTGGTATTTCGATTGCAGTAAAATCACATATTCTAGTTTGTTCTGAAATAGCTGGAAGCATCACATAGATACTAGCTAACATGACATGTTAAATCTTGAACTTTATGTGTACGAGCAGGGTTGCATGAAGGTATGTGATGTTGCTGACGCTCAAATACAAAAACTTGAACAATTCTTGCTAATGCTCAAAGCTGCACAGAAATCTCTCAATGCTCAACTTGCATAATGAATGACTTTATTTGATCGAGGTGAGCTTTTCGGGTTGAGGTTCTTTATCCCATTTAGTGTGTCATCTTATAACTCACACCCTTTAATGCATGTCTACATGACATAGGGAGATGTCGTTCGGTAATATGTCTTGTGCATCGAAGAGGGTGGTATACTAAATGGAACACAAAGTTGGAATAGAGGATCTCCACCCGAGCTTTTCATGCTACTGGTGTATATTTGAAGAGCTGGCATGTTCTGGGATACTCTAGGGTGCAAATTAAATCTCTCAGTGACGTTCTTGTTGATTTAATATGATGCTAGAGCATTTGTGTCTTGAAAAATGCATCTCTCCCCTAAAAGCATACATGTAATGTTGAGGCTGCTTTAATTGTTAGATGATTTCTCTCTTGCTCCTGTTTTTTGTCAATAATTTTTTGTTTTATCAACTTCATAAGAGTGTTTTGTTAGTTAAGCTTCATGGAATCAGAATATTACCCACAAATATCTGGCATTGGCTCAATCAACTGAATTTGGAGTAGTGTTGGTTGAACCGGTTGAATTGGCTGAATCTATTAAACTATGAAAATATTATATTTAAAATATATATTTTATTATTCAATTAAGGAAAATTTTATATCAAAAATAGCTAAAATCCCCTTTATAACTTTAATCTTTTGATGATTACACAAAATAACTTGAATCTTGAATGGACAACTTAATCTCGATTTTACTTTCTCCATCCTGCAAAACAGTTCACACTTTTCCTTTTGAATCGTCCCAAAAAATAGTTCTTATTTCTCTTTTGAAAAATTTTGTGTGACTATCATTATCCTAGTGCGTGGGAACTATTTTATGAGATGGAGGGAGTACTCTGTAATAAAGTACAGCTACATAGCTCGTCAATATTTTAAAGATGACAAAGTTTTTTTCGGGACGGAGGTAGGCCTGGACTCGGGCCGGGCGGCCCGACCCGGAACCGGCCCGGCCCGGCCACTGTAGCAACCGGCCCGGCCCGGTGGCCCGGTCCACCGGCGGTTCGGGTTGAACCGGCCCGGTGGTTCCCGGTTCCGGGCCCGGGCCTTCCAAATGGTGAACCGGCCCGGCCGGTTCGGGCCCGGTCTGGGCCGGATTTTAATTTTTTTTTTTTTTTTTTGAATTTTTTTTAAAGTTTTGGGTTGGAATAGGTATTTTGGGCCATTTGAGGTGGTTTGGGGTGGTTTGGGGTTGAGGGGGAGGGGTAGGGAATTAAATAGGAAAACAAAAAAAAAAAAAAATAAGTGGGCCGGTTCGGCCCGGCCCGGCCCGGTTTGGCCCGGAACCGGCCACTGGCGGTTCGGGCCCGGGTCTCCCATTTCCTGGCCCGAGGCCCGGCCGGGCCCAGGCCCGAACCGGGCCCGAACCGGCCCGAGTCCAGGCCTAGACGGAGGTAGTATTGCATTATTAAATTAAATAAAAATTTAATAAAAATAACTAAAATTCCTTCTACACTCACTTCCACCAGAAAAATAATTTTAATTTTACTTGTTTTTATTTTGGTTCTTACAATTCTCCCTGTGGAACTAAAAGTTGCATTTTGGTGATTCATTTTATTGATATGATATGATGTGATACGATAAACTAAGTGCCTAACCTAAAAATTAGGAATATCAAACAGGTTTATCAAATTTGAAAGATGGCAAGGATCATATTCTTAAGGAAAAATTGATAGTAATAATCCCAATTATCTGCGGTCTGCTTATAATAATCCCAATTTTTTATTATTTCAGAATAATCCCAACTTTAGGGACTTTTCGCTAATAATGGTCTCTAATAATAAATTCTTGTAGTTTTTAAAGTGGATGAGAAGAGATATAACAAGTAATGCCTATAAATAATACCAACTTTTAATTTTTACACTTAATTTATAGTTAAAATTCACTTTTTATAGGAGTTAAATCTGATCATGGACCATTATTGGTGGACGGTCCATGTAGTTGGGATTATACAAAAATAATCAATAGTTGGGATTATTGTTGGTGGGCCGTCAATAGTTAGGATTATTATTTTCAATTTTTCCTATTCTTAATAGGAAAAAATGACAACTATTATCTCATCTTTGATCGGTCTTATCATAATAATCCTACCTCTATGTAATATCAAAATAATTTCATATTTGTCGTTCATTTCTCTCATTGGACCCTCATCGATTGATGATATACTATACCAATTTTTTTTATCTTTTCTTTGGAAATCTTACATAAACAATCTCACCTTTCACAAATATGCTCAAAACAGCCCGTGTTTCATTTTTTCTTTTTTCACCCTAAAATTTTTCTTTTATTTTTATCACTAGACATTTTTTATTCTTTTTTCCAACCTTTTGTTTTTATTTCTTTGTCATAATTATTATTCTATTTGTCACACAATTACGAGAGTTCTGTTTTTGTGAAATTTCCTTTCTTGACACTTTGATTGTCATTTTTTTCTTCATGTATTTTTATTTTATTTCCCTTTTCATGTTTTTCCCCTTAACATTCTCTTTTTATTACCTGCATAAAGAAAAGAAAAAAGAAATAATATGTCAAAAACAAGCGAAGAATGATTGGGTGAAAAGGGACACAGGAAAAACAAATACTTTTTAGGAAGGTGAAAAGAGTAAAAAAGAAGAAAAATGATAATTTGCAGAAAATTTGAAATAAAAAATGAATAAACTAATAACGAGTATTATGGCATAAGTCTTTAAAAGAGAATTAACCAAGTATTAATACATAAGAAGAGAAGAAGTAAAAATGGGGAGGAAGAAGAAGAAAGAAAAAACTATTGACAAATAGGAAAGAAAAAACATAAACAAATAAAAAAAATGAAATAATAAGATGATTAAAAAAGGAAAAAGAACGAAGTGTGAGACTGTTTTTGAGCAGATTTGTGAAAGACAGGGTTATTATATAAGGTTTTCAAAGAAAAGGTAAAGAAATTGGTATAAAAGGTCATCAATCGGTCAGTGTCTAATGAAAGAAGATGAGGTACAAGGGTGAAATTATTTTGGGATTACGTAAAGATGTGATTATTATAAGAAGATCGATTAAAGATGAGATTAACATTGTCAATTTTTCTTAAAGTATATGTTAGGGGCTATATCGTATTTGGTTTCATCGCTTGTTGTTTGGTTTGATCCAATAATATTGCTTATCGGTCCCCAGGGAGTTTTACGAACCTACTAGACCAGATGCATCTCAACTTAAGCATTTACTTGGATGGTTAGCTGACCGATTTGAACTTGCAAGTGTACAAGTGACGATATAGTAATAAATTCCGGTAAAATACTGGGTCGATTCCACAGAGAAACGTTGTTTAATTTAGTCCGAGAATAGATGACTTTTAAATAAACAAATGAGTAAAGTGCAGGGATTTTGATTTTGTGTTTTATATTTTTGGCTTTTCACTTTTAATTCAAGGAAATAACTTTAATTAATTCGGATTTGAGATGAATGATAACAACGGCTAAGGCTTCGGGAATCACCTTAAATGCTTTAATAGGGTTGAATATTAGTTCTTTACCAATAATTATGAACACGATGTCACTAATATATTCTCAACTCCGGTTAAGGCAGCGAGAGCGTGGTTTTCGTTACATGTAAGTCCCGTTACGACTTACATTCATCTACCGAAAACCCCGTTGAATATCAAGACATCACACTTGTATCATATAATACCGGATATATTTCTATTCTCAGTAATATATATGTTTATCCTTTAATGTTCATAGTTTAGACTTCAACGTTAATTGCAAGCATAAACTAAGTTTAACATACTTCTATGTTGTACACTATAGTCATAAACAATCAAAATGTAAAGGATAAATCACAATTTATTGGTTTAGAACTTTTATCAAACACCTAGTGGACATAGAAGTTCATCCATAGCCTTAGCTAAGAATTTAGCTCCTTGAGCTCACATTAATTAAAAAAGAGTAACTAAGAACAAGGAAATACAATAACATACAAGAAATATTACATAGAACCAATTGTAGAGGAGAGAAATAGCTTCTTCTCCAACTCTTCAAGAAAATGCAAAACTAAAATATAAAAACACAATTTTTAGCTCCAAAGATGGAATAATGATCTTGTTTGATGAATTGGGGGCTTTATATAGGCTAAAGATTGGCATCTTTTAGTCTATTCAAGCCCAACAATTAGGCATGGATGAAATATTTGCTCAGATTATAAGGAAAGTGGGTTTTTCCCATCAAGATATTGCTACACGTCTCCCTGTTTTGTGCAGAATCGGGATTAACCGGCGCCAGTTTTAGGCATTACCGGCGCCGGTTTTAGGCATTACCGGCGCCGGTTTTACTTCGGCGTAGCGGATACAATGAAAAATGTCATAACCGGCGCCGGTTATAGTGGTGGACCGGCGCCGGTTATGCTTCGGCCAACCGGGAGTAATTCAATTTAAATGCAACCGGCGCCAGTTTTCAGGGCAGACCGGCGCCAGTTTTCCTCTGCAGTGTAATACTCCATTTTTCGCTCCTTTTTTATGCCAGTAGTTGACCCCGAGGTGTCGGTTCTCAGCCCTTTTGACTGTTGACTCCCGTTTCTTCATCTTTGACGCCTTTATGTGGTTTTGCTCAAATTGGGATTTTTACTTGTTTCGTCTTTGAATACTTGTACAGATAATCATAATTACCTATATAAAATATAGGTAACTATTGTGCTTATCAGCGGCACAACACGAAAACCGTGGGTGCTATTGGGTGCGGTTACAGAAACAACTATGTGATAGCGGAATGATGGGACGTAGAGAACCTGGCGATAAATTCAAGGCTCGGATTAAAGAGGGAGATGGAATGGAGGGGAGCATAGATGGAAATAAAACGAAACTTAAGTCCCTCTGGTAATAGAGTATGTTAGAGATATTTTCATTATATTGTGATCAATATTTCTTAGCTATTTATATTTAGCATCTTAATTTAATAGATTAGCTAGAATAATGAATAGGCCTTTTAAGGCAATTTGTAATAAAAGGTTTTATACCTTTTTAGGTATGGGCCTCCTAGAAAAAGGAGCCCAAATGATTGTAAAACCTACCTTTCCCGTCAGGCTATATATATGCCTTAAGGGAAAGGCTAGGTTAAGCTTTTCGTAACATTCCTAGTGCCGCAGTGCCTAAATCGGTGATAGAAGTTTTACGCTAAATTGTTCATCATTCTGTAAACTTCTTCATCATTCAATGGAAAGCTTCATTCCCAGATCTATCTTCCATACATACATTTTATAGACTAGAAAAAAGGGACCTAACATCTGGTATCAGAGCCGGAGCTGATCGAACGATTGAAGGCTGAAAAAGCTTCTGCGCGATTCTTCATCGTTGAAGTTTCGCACTTGAGCGATTTCTGGTTCTATTTTTATTGTTGTTTTTGCAGAAAAATGGCTGAAGGAAAGTGTTTTTAGGATTGCTGGGATCGATTCTGAGAAAAATCTCGCTGGGAAATTTGGCGTACAGGTTAAGCTCGATTTGAGCGATTTTACAGGTTCGCGCAACTCGTCTAGGAAGAAGAACAGAATCGCGCAACTCCCCTCTGCGCTATCTCGAGCTTCGCGC